ATATTTTAAATTACAGTTATTTAAGCAATAAAAATAAAATTATTTCATTGATGTGTTGCACATTCATTAAAATATAAAATTACAGTTTTTATTCAAAATTTCCCTTTTAAAGCCATACGAAAATATATATATTTTTAACGGTTATTAAGACATTTGTTTAGTTTATATCAAATAATAGGGTAAGTTTATAAATATTAATTTTTGATGAGAAAAAGTTAGTTGAAATACAATAAAATGTAAAATAAATTATTGTATTAGTATTGAGCAAATTTAGCATCAATATAAATGTGCACTATTTAGAGCCCAAATTACTTATTTTGTATTAATAGTTATTATGATTATATTAATGTTTAAAATATTACAGTCTGATAAAAATATTTTAATAAAATTATATTAATATCTAAAATGATTTGTAACTACAGTATTAAGTTTTAGATTGAAATTCGTATTTTAAAAACGTTTATTGAATGTAAATTATTAGTCTACGAAATAATTATAAATTAATTTATTACTAAAATTAATTCAATTCAAATGAATTTTTAATATAAAATTGTAATATATTTAAAAATTCATGAAAAAGGTCCCAGCATTTTGAATCCATAAGTTTTTGATTTAATAAATTAGTATACATTTTTATTAATTTATTATATGTTTACGGTTTTATTAGATATTTTTGAATCCAATATTATTAAAAATAATTTGTTTAATTTTTATATTAGTAATTGTCTAACTTATATGTTAATAGGGTTGTTGTCTATTTATAATTAAGGTTGTTTTACATATTTTAATAAATTTCATATTTTGCACCAAGTATGGTTTATTTCGGCCACAATTATATCCAGGACTTTTTATGTTAACTTAATGCAAAATTTTTTATTATTAAAGTGTTTTTTCAAATACAATATCGTAGAACATAAAGGTTAATTCAAAAAATATAATGCTAAATATAAATAGCAAAGAATAATTAGGTAGACGTATATTTAAAAAAGCTTGATGTTTATAAAACTCTTAATAAATTAAGGAAGTTATTATGCGTATTATATTTAATAACCATGGTGATATGGTTCAGTCCCTAGCCTTTAGCGTAACAAGCAACTCTTTAGGTGACATAAGAATGTTGCCGATAAAGTAGTCCATTTGCGGTTTCTGAGCAAGGGTAAACTCGTATTTGTGAATGAGTTTAGCCAGGCACATTCGCATCTCATTTAAGGCAAATCGTTGTCCAATGCATAGTCGGGGTCCGCCACCAAAGGGTAGGTACGCATAAGGATGGTGTGTGGGCTCCAGAAAGCGGTCGGGAATGAAGTCGTTAGGGTTGGGCCAGTACTCCGGGTCCCGGTGTATAGCGTAGGGCAGTATCTCAATGGACGTGCCCTTTGGTATAGTTATGCCTATTTGTATAGAAAAATATAATTGGTTTTAATATAGCGTTTTAGATTAAATGTAAGGTTAGTATTAATGTTGCGATGATTACCAGTATCTGCGAGTTTGTAGTCCTGTAGGCATTCCCGTTGGACACGGGTTAGAGATGGGGCCAGACGTAAGGTTTCACTGATGACAGCATTCAAGTACTTGAAATGACCAAGCTTCTCGTAGGTAAACTCATCGCATGATTTCAACTCATCATAAAGTTTTTGTTGACACGACTTCTGTTCAGACAAGTAGTATATGGCGTGCGATAGGGCGGCGCTCGTAGTGTCGTAACCAGCGATGAAAAATAGGATTCCCTGAGCCGTGAGTTCGTCGGATGTGAGCTGACCCGTAGGCCTTTTGGACAGGGGGTCAGTCGGTTCGTCCGGCTCTACATCGCTGTTTGAATCATAGCCCAAATCTTTAGCCGACTTTTCCGAGTCTATCATCAATTGTATGAAATCTGTGCGACGTTTGGCTATAAATGTAAAAATTTGTATTAATTTTTATTTTCATTAAATATGTTATTTTTATATTTAAAAGTTATTTTAATTCCGATGGCTTAATATTTTTAATGTATTTAGTAAACTGTAATATTTTTCATGTGAATTATTTTATTTTATAATAAATTGTTTTAATATTTTTAATGGACATACTTTCGGTCATCCTATATTTTTTAAAATTATTAAAATTTTTATATAAATACTTTATATTAAAACTTTTATAATACTGTATTTTTTAAAAATTAATTGAGGTATTAATTTATATAAAAATTTATAATTTTGTGCGACGATAAAATTAACATTATTATATTATAGAAGTTATAACTGTAAATAAATTTTTAAATATTTGTTTCATTATGGTATTTGGTGGCTTAATAGTTAAACTGGGTCATTAAGCATAGAGCTATTGATTCATGAATATTAAGATTTTTATTTTAATCAAGCATAATTTAAAATATTTTTAAAACTATTTTATTCATTTGTACTAATAGTAATTATGTTTTTAATAATTAATTTTCTAAAAAACTGAAAATCCTTTCAAATGATACTTACATTTATCGGTCACTTTATATTTGTTGATAACTTTTCTCTCTTTCAGTATTTGATTCGTGAGTTCATCGAAATAGTTGATAGCATTTATGTCAAAGGGCTCCAACTTTAGCAGTTTGGCTAACCCGGGTGCTAATATCGACAGTAGTATACCGATTCCGGCGTCGACACCCAGTATTTTCTTAGCGTTGGTCACAATGGGATGACTCGTGTTTTTGACGGACTCTGTGTTTATACCATAGGCACAGGCGCTGATCACATCCATGGCGAACGCACCGATGTATTTGCGCATATCTACCACCTCACCTGGGTTACATTTGAAAAACAAAATTATTATTTTGTATGCATGATGACACGAACGATTCTAGGTTTTAAAAATTATTACATGACTATTTACTAGTTAGTATTTATAATTAATTTTATACAGTTATTTAATGTATTATTCTGAAATGTGTTTTAAAATTATATATTCCTGTTATATGTTATATCATACTGAACTACAAAGTTATAAACTTATAAAGGTATAAAATATTAAAATATAATTTTATATAATTAAGTTAGATTATAATAAAAATAAAGTAATTTTAGTTACTTTCGATGAGATAATCAATATCATATGGATTTATTTGTTTATAATAAATTAATTCTTTTAGAGAAATTTTGTTACAGTCTTTAATGTAACGGTGCTGAAACTTATTTAATAAACAAGATTATTAAAATAACTAATATATATAATATATAATAATATATAAATTTTACCTTTTGTCTCATAATCGCCTAAATTATTGACAAACGAGTCGGAAATGTCCGATATGTGAGCCATCATTGCCCGCAGTTTACCCGACGTGAACACCGGCGACAGTATAGACCGAACCCGTTTCCAGTCGTCATCCCCGGGCATAAAAAACAGACTCTTATCCAGTTTAGATGACCCGGTGTGAAAGTGTTTGTGGTCAGGGAATACGTTAAAATCCTTGACCATTATATCCCGGAGCAGATTGGGATCGCACACCACCAGTGCCTTACCCACCAATGAGTACGAGCCGTAAACCCTACCGTATTTTTGTATGGCTTTTAGGGTGTACTCGTGGTGTATAGTAAAAAAGCCGTCGTATTCAACAAAGTTTGGCCCTGGTACACCTTTGCGCGACCAGTAGGTGAACCTCCGTCGAAGTAACCTAGGTAGAAAATTTATTTATAATTAATATAATTGATTTATGTAGCATAGTTAGTTTATACTTACAGTGCTATCACTGTTATTGTAATTGCTATTATAGTCAACACTGTTTGCAAATCCATTGTTTTATTTAAACTGTATTTATTACTAAAATGTTTTATAAAATAGTTTTAATAAATTTATTTTAGTTATAAGCGGTATAAATGGGAATCAAGATTTTAGTAAATTATTTTCGATTATAAAATATATTTATTACAATTTAACAAAACTATTTTCATCATCATTTTATATAGTTGTGGGTATTTGATAAAAGTTAACACTTTTTTAAATATATAATAGTGATTATCTTTTTTTGTTATCATTGATTAACGCAATCATATGAATGCATTGCAAACCAGTTTTATATACTGTGCTTATTGTACTCATTCAGTGCAGTTTAGTCGACTTTAGTGCATATAAGTGCAATTGGGGAATTTTAGTTTTATTATCAGGGTTTTTGTTAATCTATTATATAATGGGGGAGAGAGAGAGAGAGAGAGAGAGAGAGATAGAGAGATTAATAAATAATTATAAACAGGGAAATGGATAAGTATTTTTGGGATTTACTTAAAACAAGTTTATATGAAAATATAGTTAATTGTTTGAAAACAAAAACTATTTTTTCTTGTATTATAAATTCTATTGAGATAACATTTCTTATTGTATATTTTATATGCGTTAATAAATAGCTTCAAAAGGATGCTCAAGGACAATATAATTATCTCTTCAGACACATAGTATTTATCTATTAAATGTTTTGACCTTGTCTAGATAAGCGAATTTAGATGAACTAAACTCTTATCAATATATCCGCAATATTTATAACACTTATGATTATATTTTTAATAATCAAATGTTTTATAAGTTATATATTATAACAATATATAGTAGTTATTGTAGTTAACTTAATAATTAATTATATAAAACTTTTAGTACAAAATTTAATATTTTATTATGAGTAGTTAAAAGTATTAACATGAAATAGATAACTTATAATATTAATTGGTATGTAAAACAAAGTCAAAATAAAAAATAATATAAATAGTAATTTATTATGAAGTTAAATATAAACAAGCACAGTATTAATTTATAAATATCAAAAGTCAATAAAATATTAAATTAGTTCAAAATATTAGTAAATAGTTTTTATATTATTTTCAAATTATCACTAATTTCTAGCCTTCAGAGTGACCATCAGCTCCTTGGGTGACATCAATACACTTCCGACAAAATACTCAAGTTTTGTCTGTTTATTAGGTTCAGCAAGGTTAAATTCAAATTTATGAACGAGTTTAGCCAGGCACATTCGCATCTCATTTAAGGCAAACCGTTGTCCAATACAAACACGGGGTCCGCCACCGAAGGGTAGGTACGCATAGGGATGGTGTGTGGGCTCTAACCACCGGCCGGGTATGAAGTCGTTAGGGTTGGGCCACAGGTCCGGCTGCCGGTGCAGAGCATAGGGTACTATTTCGACGGACGTTCCCTTTGGTATAGTTATGCCTATTGTATAGAAATATAATTTATTTTAATATAAAGTTTTGGATTAAATGTATGTTTTGTATAGTCTTTCGGATAATTACCTGTATTTCCAAGTTTGTAGTCCTGTAGGGCTTCCCGATTCGTCCGGGTCAGGGATGGGGCCAGACGTAGGGTCTCATTGATCACTGCATTCAAGTATTTCAAATGACCTAGCTTCTCGTATGTAAACTCATCGCATGTTTTTAATTCATCGTAAAGACTTTGCTGACAGTCCTTGTTTAGGGACAAGTAGTATATGGCGTGAGTTATGGCGGCACTGGTAGTGTCGTAACCGGCGATGAAAAATAGTATTCCCTGTGCTGTGAGTTCATCGGGTGTGAGCTGACCCGTAGGCCTTTTGGTCAGGGGTTCGGTCGACTCGTCCGGCTCTACATCGCTGTGGGAACTGTAGCCCAACTCTTTGTCCGACTTTTCCGAGTCTATCATCAATTGTATGAAATCTGTGCGACGTTTGGCTATAAATGAAATACAAATTATTTTATTTACATCTAAAACTGTAATTTGGATAAAATTTATATTTAAAATATTATTCAAGTATTGCTTACTTTTAGTAACCGTCAGGTAATTGTTGCTAACTTTCCGTTCATTTAGTATTTGATTCGTGAGTTCATCGAAATACTGGACGGCCTTTATGTCAAAGGGTTCGGCCCCTAAATATTTAGCAATTTTAGGCACCATTACCGATAACATGAATCCCACACCGGCGTCGGTATTCAGTATTTTCATAGCATTTGTCACAATAGGATGGTTAGGGTTGTCGATGGAGTCCGTGTTTATTCCATAGGCACAGGCGCTGATCACATCCATGGCAAACGCACCCACGTATTTGCGTATATCTATCGGGTCACCTGGGTTAGTTAAATAATGAAATAAATAAATGTTTACTTTGGATCCATAAATGTGTTTAAAAATAATAAAAATTTGTTGCAACCACCAATATTAAAATAATAAAATTAATTCTGTATATTGTATAGATATTTCAAACTGAATTTACAGTTTGGCATAAATTGTAAATTCATAAATGCATTTTAAAAATAAAATTGTTGTACAAGCCGCAATCCAACATTTAGATTATAAAATCAATTTTGTTTAAGTGTAGTCATTTAAAAGTTAATATACAGTTTATCATAAATTGTAAACTTATTGTTTTTATTATTACTGTAAGTTATGTTTAATAAACATACGAAATTAAAGTTAATAAATGAGCCTGTTACCTTGTTTCTCAAACTCAGTTAAATTGTGGACAAACTTATCGGAAATGTCCGATATATGAGCCATCATTGCCCGCAGTTTACGCGATGTGAACACCGGCGACAGTATATGTCTCTGGCGTTTCCAGTCATCATCACCAGGCACAAAAAACAGACTTTTGGTTATTTTGGATGAACCCAGGTGAAAATGGCGGCGATCGGTGAATAGGTGGGAGTCCTTGACCAGTATGTCTCGGAGTAGGTCGGGCTCACAGACCACGATCAGTTTCTGAGCTGCCATTGTGTAACTTCCATACAGTTTTCCGTATTGTGTCACTTGATCCAGGGTAAAGTCGTGGTGCACATGGATTAAGCTTTTGTATTGGAAAAGGTTGGGCCCAGGTACACCCATTCGTTTCCAGTAGGTGAATTTACGTCTAAAGTAGCTAGTTTAAAAATATAATTAATTAACTTAATGTGTTAAAAATAGTTATTACTGTAGGATACTCCATTGTTTAGTAGTAAATATTAAGTAGTTTTAATTAAATACAAAAATTCTAGCATGCATTTTCAATAAACATTTTAAATATTAATCTAATTATAACTATTAATTTAAATTTAAATAAATATCGTAGTTGATATTCAACAATTTATAAGGATTTTAAAATTTTACTATAATTTAAAATTATATTTGCATTATATTACAGTTTACAATAAATGAAAATATAAGCTTAATGTTTTTATTTTAATATGTTAAGCCTGAACAGTTAATGTATTATTATTATTACCGTATTAATATCAACACTTACTATAAAATTGACGTTAAAATGACCACAAATATTGTTAATAATGTAGCATACTCCATTGTTTATTAATAATAGTAAATAAGTAGAAAACTTAAAATCAAAAACTTTATATTTCAATAATAATTATTGTTAGTGTTGTTTACATGAGACAATTATCTATCAACTATTTATCCAAAATAGTAATTTACAAATATGTAAATGCTATTTATAGATGCTATTAATTATGGAAAGCATTTAATTATAGCAATTAATTTTTATATTCTGTAGGCGCTTATTAAATATGACTAATAAATTATAGTGAAATGGATTACAATTTAATTACTTATTATGGACAAAATATTATATATATGTTTGTGATTCAGAAATTCTATGTAATTTTCATATTAATGATTTTGTTTATGATTATAATTTGCAATGAATACAGGATGTTATAAATACATTCATTTGAAAACTATTTAATATTGAATATAAATTATAGTACAAATGATGCCATTTAACATAACAGTGAATAAATTTATAAAAATTTATATAAATGTCTATTATTTAGACATTAAACTTACTGTTGTTAAACTGGTAGCTTATTTTTGGCTAATTTAACAGGTACATCAATATTTGTTAATTAAGTATTAATTAAATAAAATATAATATAAAAGTTTAATTAATATTTATGAAATTCACGTAGGAGTCATTTTTATTAGTTTGCTATTAGTTTAAAATACTTTGTAAACTATAATTATATCTAACAACCATGAATGATAACATTATTTATATTTTGTTTGTAATTTAAATGAACCTGTTTTTAATTATATGTATTTTAAATAAATATACTGTATGTATAATCCAAGAGGTGTTGTTGAGTTGAGATTAACATTAACAAAATTTTTTATGAATAGAAAATTATTTAATCTATTCCTAATGTATAAATAATAAATATTACAAACTTTAAAAATAACCAAATGATAGTAACATTACTTGCTTTGTAATTGTTCAAAAAGATAAATAAATTTTTCAATTTAAAAAGTAAGCTATTTTAATATTAAAACTATAATTATTATGATAAAACATATTCTAATTGAATTAAAATTTATTTTATATTTTTATGAGTTAAGACAGCAACAGGTCTAATATTATTTATTTTATAATATTATATTATCATTATTTATTGATTTATTTATTTATCTAATAACATTTACTATAATATTATTGCTTAAATGGTATAATACAGTACTGTAGTACAATGTTAATAGGTTTCAATAGCAGTAGTATTTAATTTTTAAATGATATTTACATGATTATTTATCTATTAAATATATAATATTTATATATCAGTGGCTAAAATACGATTAAGAGGTGTGTTTTTCAACACTATATCTTATGTATATTTTGTATTCAGTTATCTACCGGTGCACCTTGGTAAACATAATAATGTACATGAGTTAAACAAAATTAGATGAATAAAAATATGTTATTATTAATTTTTATGTATATTAATTATTATTATTACATTTGCTTAATGTTAAGTAATTAATTATTTTTTACAACATAAACTGTAATTAATCAGAATTTTGTTCAAGCACTTAGATAAAGGTTTTAAAAATTATATGTTGGGCTATAGGAAGGGACGGCTGATTAAATCAAATATTTTTACTATAAGTAGAGTATATTGTATTTTTTGACGTCCAATATAATATATTTAATTATATTTGAGTTTAATAATATATTTATTAAGCTAAATTAATATCTAAAATATTTCTAAAATTGATTAAGATTTAATAATTGATTAATTTTTACAACATAAACTGTAACTATTTAAAATTATGTGCAAACACTTAACTAAAAAGGTTTTAAATTATATCTTGGTGGTAGGAGGAAGTGGACATTGCTTATAATTATCAACAGTATTTTATGTATCAATAACTTTTTAAATTATTTGTTATCTAAAATTTATTTAATAATAAACTTATGAATAGTTTTTAATTATTTAATTATTTGTTTTGTTTACTAGAATTACAGTTTAAATCTTAAGTAACTTTGCTTGATAAACTGTAACTTATTTCGACTTTTTATGACAAATTAACTAAATTTTACTGGTTAATTAATAATGGCGAGAAAAGTACTGGCCTTTATTTTAAATCAATAAATATAAATATCTAATAAATATCAATCGTTTTTAAGCATTTTTGAAAAATTATATAAATATATTTCTTAACTATAATTAATCGCTACTACTGTATGTGTAAAATCTTTAAAAATTATAAATTTATAACAACTTATAATAACTTTAAAATAATTGTAATCTAAAAGTAACTCTATTTTTAACCTTTTCTCTCAAACTCATCCAAATTGTTGACAAATGTGTCGGAAATGTCCGATATGTGAGCCATCATTGCCCGCAGTTTACCCGACGTGAACACCGGCCACAGTATAGTGCGGACGTGTTTCCAGTCGTAATCCCCGGGCATACAAAACAGACTTTGATTACTTTTGATGACCCCATATGAACATTACCACATATTAATTAAATTATATTTTATTATTGGTTTATATTATTTAATAATGGTATTTTTATTAACTAAAAATTGTTAAAAACTGTAATTTATTTGAGAATATTTAATAAAATAAAGTAATTTTTAAAGTAATGTTAGTGTTGGGACCAAAAAGACATCCTTTTGCAACAGTAACACAAAAATAGGGAGATTTATTTAGTTATAGTACATGTTTGTATAAAAGTAATAAAAAATTAATATTTTGTAATTGTTACAATAAAACTAACTCTCTCACTTTTGAATGTCAAGTATGGCAAATATGGCATTTAAGGCAGTCCCTATTTTGTCAATTAAATATTGTATTTTATGAACAATATGTTATTTATTGACTACAATTTAATTATTGGTTGTACTCACAAAGCTATTGCTAAATCTATGACCACAAATATCGTTGATAGTGTTACAAAATCCATTGCTTGATCCATAATTAATTGAACACTATTAGATAATTATTTAGGATTTTTATAAAATTTATTACAACATTTTGAAATCAATGTCCATTCATAGGCATGTATTGGAGGACACCAAGTACATGTGTTACCATTTTTGTAAACTAATAGATAGATATAAATAATGAACAATAATTTTCTCTCAAAATGACATGAATGTAAACAATATACACAGTATATAATAATTGCATAATGTATCAGGACAATATTAATATATCGGTGAAAAATGGGAACAAATTGATGACCAAAAACACCAATCATTGCCAAAACAGATACTAAACAACACATCAATTATTATAATATTATTCCCATAATGCAAGTCATTAGCCAATAATTGGTGGACACAACTAATATCACCAATGGATCAGTTCGTGAGTCACACAGAAATAAATGATTATTAATTGAATTTTTAATTAAATAAATTTCTTTTCAAAATTAAAAATTTATTACAAAATGTATAAACAATGTATAAAACACTACACAAAACGTATGAATAAAAGTCAAAATATGATTAAATAGTGATAGAAATCATTGACTAGTTTCTAGCCTTCAGAGTAACCATCAGCTCCTTGGGTGACATCAATAGACTGCCGATGAAGTACTCCAATTTAGTTTGCTTTTTGGGTTCAGCAAGGTTAAATTCAAATTTATTGATGAGTTTAGCCAGGCACATTCGCATCTCATTTAAGGCAAACCGTTGTCCAATGCATAGTCGGGGTCCGC